AATCAATGGATGTGACATTAATACAGCTTGCTAGCACCTCACTTTTGCTGTCAATGGCTGAAGATATAAAGCAGCATAATTTTAATCCTTGATGACTTCTGGCTGGTTGTCAGATTGTTATCGCCCTCATCCTAAAATGGGTGACCTCAAGCACCAGTGGAAAGGGATGAAGAACAGGTCCTCTCAATATATGTGCTAATTCAGAGAGACGTACTATAAGTAGGTCTCTGATAAATGGGGTAAAGTGTACAAATGTAGTGGGGGAGCAAGAAGTTAGAAATAGCAATTTGGCTGACACACTGAGGATTCAACCAAGGGCCACCAGAGCTAAAAGCAAGAGCTTAAATAGTTTGATCTAAAGAGACAAAGCTCCCTAGTTGGGGAATATAAAAACTCATCCCCTTTATAGAGTGCCCCAAAGGGAGATCTGTAGCACTGACTTGCCTTTGGATTACACAGACTGTTACCAGATTTCCCTGTTACTTTGGGGTATACTCATTTATTAGGGTTACTCTTCTGTGTGGGGGTGGGGGGTGTCTGTACTTCTGTCAATGTACTGCTTGTGTCACTTGTGTTCTCAGACGGAGCTCTACTTCTCCCTTCTGCAAGTTCGCTCCAAATGGAGCTATTCTGCAGGATCTAGGTTACCCAGGGCTGGGTTCTTCCAGCCCCAGAATCAGACGAACACGCACATTAAAGAGAGTGTCTGAGAGGACTGGGTTAATCACCAATCATAGAATATCAGGGTTGGAAGGGCCCTCAGGAGGTCATCTAGTCCAACCCCCTACTCAAATCAGGACCAATCCCCAATTTTTGCCCCAGATCCCTAAATGACTCCCTCAAGGATTGAACTCATAACCCTGGGTTTAGCAGGCCAATGCTCGAACCACTGAGCTATCCCTCCCCCGCAGCTGATCCCTGACCTCAGCAGGCTGGGTCGAGCAGCACTTCCATGCTGCCACCCTCATATGCCCCAGGTTCAGCACATCCCTATCCCCACTTTCATGTTACAATTGTTCTGGTAGTAATCCATTTGATGAGCAAACCCCACAGGATTTCCGGGTGCTGCAGGGATCTTTAGCTTAGGTACGAGGAGTGTTGCTGCAGAGAGAGAGAGAGAAGTAACCAGCTTAATCATGAAAGTTATTTATTGCCAGGTAATAACTACAAGGGGAGCCAAAAAATGAAACAGTTATAATATTAAATCTAACTTAAATTTGATTACAAAAGTCAGGTTTAGAAAACTATAACTGATCACACAAGTCAGGTTCAGAAGGCTATACCTAAACAGAGAGAGAGAGAGAGTTACGTTCTCACCACTCTATGAAGCTTGAATTGATCAGGGTTCCCAGGTGGTGGTGGTAGCTATGGGTCCAGAGTGCTGGAGACAGGCAGAGCCCCCAGCACGATCAGTCAGGAGAAGAGGAAGTCGGAATGGAACTGATACAGATTTTGGATCCAGGAATCAGAGCACTTGAGCATGGGTATGGTTTTTTGTAGAGAAAGAAGAGTGGTTAAAGGGAGAACACTAGGTTTGTTTGTGGGTAAACTTATGGCTCTTGGGAGTATACCAAAGTTGTTTTGTTCAGGCTGGAGAATAGGAACTGATCATTCCCTGGGTATGGGTGGTGTTCCTTCGAGGGAGCTCACAATGTAATTAGGCAGCTTCAGTATTTTGGATACCAATAAAGGATTTATTACTCAAATTGGTCTGATAACTACTGAGCTGGGTGTGTGCAGGTGTGGGTTTATTAACATCTGGAGCAGAGATTCCCCATCATGCAGTGCTTTCCTGCTTTTCTGGTCCCAGAGTTCCATGCAGTTCTTGCTTTGGAATCTCTGTTCTCCACTCTGTATGCTAATGGGGATGCCTCCCTTCCTAACTTCGATGCAAATAAGGCTAGGGGAGTTTCCTTGATCCTGTCACTCTTGTCTGGAGGGGTTTAGGTGTATCTTCCACTGCCTTTTCATTGCTTTGTGTAAATCTTTCTTCGGCTCGGCTTTGGTTCAAGCAGAGGCTGGGGAGGGAGAAGGTCTTTTGTGAGTCAGACAGGCTGGGTACTGCACCCTGGTTCCCTAAGAACACAGAGCTGCTAGGTAACAAGACACAATATTCAGAGATGCTGTGTAGAAGTGCCCTTTCTACCTACACTACTTCTCTCTGAATTGTCACATATACACCTCTACCCCGATATATAACGCTGTCCTCAGGCGCCAAAAAATCTTACTGCGTTACGTCGAACTTGCTTTGATCCACCGGAGTGCGCAGCTCCCTCTCCGCCCCCACCCCCCACCCCCGGAGCGCTGCTTTACCACGTTATATCCGAATTTGTGTTATATTGGGTTGCATTATATCGGGGTAGCGGTGTACTAAGAAGACCTGTTGTTCGTCCCCTTACACTGGTGCTTGAGGTCACCCATTTTAGGAAGAAGGAGATATCAGTCTGACAACCAGCCAGACATCGTCATGGATTAAAATTATGCTGCTTTATATCTTCAGCCATTGACAGCAAAAGTGAAGTGCTAGCAAGCTGTATTAATGTCACACCCACTGATTTACATATGTACTTGGATCTACTACTCTACTGCAAGCCACAAATTTTCACTGGGCCTCAGCTCAAAATGGTTGCATATGCACTTCAATGACATTCAAGTTATGAGCCTATATGTGTGGAAGTTTGAATAGCTCATGCCCATAAATCCCCAAATGATCTTGCAATTTTAGTGTGCCTCTACATACAGTGTAACTTTCAAAATAGCCCTCACTTCCTGCACATAAATAAATGCTTAATACAAAAGATTGGCTTCTACAAAATGTTCTTTGAAAATCAGGACCATAATTAGCCTAAAAATTGCCTTGCTTTTCTTTGTTGGATAAGGCATGCAAATTTGACTGTCGAGTGATTTAGATAATTGTACTTTAGCTTTATGGACTCAGATACTCCAGTGATGATGCATTCAAAATGTCTGGATAGATAGCTGTCTGTCCATATTTTCTTAATTGTTATTACTTATTTTTATTATGATAGCATCCAGGAGCCCAAATCAGGATCAGGGTTCCTCTGTGTTCAGTGCTTTACAAATACACTGTAAAAGCAGTCTTTTTTCTGAGGAGGTTAAAATCTAGATTAAGACATGACAAAAGTGGGTGTAACAGACACTTGGAAGGAATAGGCATGGAGGAGAGGCTATAATTCATGTATCTGTGTGCACAGATAGTTTTAAGTCATTCAATTCCTTTTTTGACTTTTGAAATATAAGTAAACAAATGATAGATATCCAAGGTCACTGGTGGTCATCTACGTAGTCATCATCAATTGGCAGTTTCCTGTAGGCATCACAGTAGATGTGGGTCTTGAGGAAAGATTTGAAAGAAAGGGTAGTGATTTTACTGACTAGCTCAGAAAAGTGTGCTATGCATAAGAAACAGCAGAGAAGAAAGTGTGAAGATGCTTGTGGGAGAGTAGGTAAACAAGATCAAGGCTGACAGAGCTGGTGAAATGGAAGTGGTGTCTGAGAGTCATAAGATACAGAAGTAGGTAAGTAGAAAAGAACTAAGTTGTGAACTGCCTTAAAGGTAAAGGTATTTGATTCAGTGGAGGGACTAACACCAGGTGACACTGTTAGAACAAGAGACCATGAGGGTGGCTCAGCAGCAGAGTTTTGAATGGAGCTGATAAGCAGTAAGGTAAAAGGGAGAGAGGTAAGGGTGGTTGAAAAAAGGAGTTGCAGTAATGAAGATAAAGGATGATAAAAGCCTATATGAGATTTCAAATGGTATAGACAGAGTGTAAAGGTCAGATCTTTGGCATACTGTGGAGAAAGAAGAAGCAAGATTTTAATACATCCAGGCTGTGTTAGGCTACAGAGAGACGGTAGAGTAAAAGACAGCACCTTGGTTAAGGGTGGTGGCATGGAGACACACATTCTGCAGCTGGAAAACCAAAGCATGCCCACTACTTAAGGGAAATAATTTCAAAGACAATAAATTATTAGATTTTTAAATATATGCCAGGCAAAAGCCCATTTTAAAGTCAGGGAATTATTTAGAGAAATTGTCTGAAGTAATTTGATTTTGGGTTCTATAGAGCAGCTGCTTTGGTCCCAGTGTTTTTAAATCTACATAGACTCTCTTTGCATTCTTTCTCCACCTGTGCTGGCAAGAGGACTGGAGAGGGAGGCATATCTTTAACCGTTTGGTGTAGAGACTAAATCAACTTGCAGCTTCATGACTCCTCCATGCTTCACAGCAAATTAGGTCCCTGCATATAATAAACCTGGTCCTAAATGCACCTTCATTTTGAACTCCTCTCTTTCTGAATGACAAAAGGTGAATCAGTGTTGCAGGGATGGTGAAGAAATAACATCCATTTTAAAAAGCAGCTATAAAAGTACTGAAAAGTGTGTGTGTGGTGGGGGGGGAAGAAAATAATTCCACGTGGTACTACATTTTTAATTTTTTTTAAAGGTCAGGTGACTGGCAACTAGAGCTCATATAAATCAATTGGGAAAGACTCCCTCCGTCCTCTGGACTCAATCCTACATATCAGCTTAGTAGAGGGTAGAATCAGAACCTTTGTGGTATGAAGGCTACAAGTGCATCTATAAACCCAGAGAGAAGCCTTCCTCCCTAATTGAGACAGTAGCTTGTCTTAGCTGTGAAAGTCATTTTTTGCATATTTTACAAAGAAAGTCAGCTCATAAATCTGGAAACCTGGATGTGAAAGAGGAGTTGTCTGTTCAGTCAACAGATTAGTATAAAAAACTAGGAAGTATTTGTAGGTTTATGGAAGGGCTCCTGAGTTTTACAGTTGACAGTTAGGCTGCATTCCAGGAGATACCACATATCTAGAGCTTCTGTTTCTGATGGCAATCACCACTTTGTTCCTATTTAATTCATAATTCTGGTTGAAACACCTGGTATAACATCTTTGCTGTGATTGTTGATTTTAAGTCTTACGTATAAAGAAAAGATTTTCTTTTATTTCTCTACATCTCAGGTTTGACGTCGATACAACAGAACTACACAGCTGGATGACCCGCTCAGAAGCTGTACTTCAGAGCCCCGAGTTTGCAATATATAGAAAAGAAGGCAACCTGTCAGACCTCAGAGAAAGAGTCAATGTAGGAAAATATACTCTCGTATTTGTTTGTCAATTTGTATTAATTTTTCAAAGTACTTTCAAAGTCCAAATCTAAAAAAGTTGAACTGTAGATTGGCAAACATTGATTGACCATACACAGCCAAATTTTCAGATATGCTCATTAATTTTGTGTGTGCCAGATTTTGGCTGGCAGCTTGATATATGTTGTGCCTGAGGTGGTGTTGATCAATACATCCAAGTCCACACACTTTTAACTTGTACAGCAGATGTGTACAAGCCTAAATGATTGCAGAATCAAGCTTTATATATAGCACGCTATGTATACAACCATACTACTACTCTTTTCATTTTAGTATTTTTATGTTAGGATCACATATTAAAAAGCAAAGTCATATTATACTATATGTAAAGGAAGAATCAGTATTTCAGAATCTAGTAATAGTGTTCTAGTAAAGATCCCAAATATTAACAATCATAATGCTCAGTTGAATTTAAACAAGTCTGGCCATGGTAGCATGGAACACTTGAAAAATGATTCTTTAATCTTCTATGGCCTCAGTGATGATTTTGCAGTGTGTAAGCCATTGCACTGTGGGTGTTTTTCACACACTCTGAATTTAGTCTGTTAAACACTAAAATATTTGAATACTTGGAAATAATTTGATTTTTGAAAATAGTTGCAAAAATTATCTGCTTTATTCTGAGTACGAGAAGGAGAAATCCATGTCTAGCTAGCTATTACACTCAAAGCCTGTGATATTTTACAAATGTGTTTGTTTAAAATTAACAGATATAAATTCTTACTCCATGTACTGCAAATGGAGCAGGATTACCAACACTAAATCATTTCTGCTATATGTTTGTCTTCCTGTCTGTCTCTCCATCTTAAATCAGCTCTGATAAGATGAAGGAACATTGAATTTCAGCCCTCCAGAAGTATACATTCAAAAGTTTCTTGTTATCTCACTTACCTCGCAGTGGTTTGTGTTTAATCAATAGTCTCCATAGCAATACTGGAAGAAAGCACTGAGAGGTCTGTGGTATACTGAAAGCAGCTTTCTGATGCCACCTGCTCATTTTTGTGTACTTGGAAATGCATTTTTCTAAAGTAATATTAATAATTATATGGTAAATGATTTTACTCTGACCATTTTCTATCTGCTCCATGAAATGTGCACATATTAAAAACAAAACTGGCATGATACATGTAGAAGATATGATGGATGCAGGCATTTGGCTATTAGAGTGACTGGGACAATTTAATTAATAAAGAGATAGTCACTTAATTTTCTGAGCGCTTCACCCATTATACTATTGTTTTTTTAAATAATGGAAGGTTCCCTTTGTTTCCATTTTTAGGAGCATAACCATCTCAAAGTTGGCAAATTAGCTCTTGCCTGGACCTTTGTAATTATTCTGAACAATTGCACAATTAGATGCCCTTAGCCAATAAGATGTTCCCCTTCCTAATGTCAGTTTTATACTACTTTATAATATCCTTAAGGGATTCAGGAGCCATGGTTTGTTCACCTGCCTCCTCCTTTCCTTCCTTTGTTCCCAATGAGCCGGTGATCTATGTCCCTGCAAGTGAGAGATGAAGGTAGGTGAACCACAGACCTACTTTGCTCCTAACTGTGGTTCCCAGCAGCTCTTGCCTCAGACTCTAGGTGGGCTCCTATACTTCCTCCTCTTTTGTTGTTGGTGAGCCAGAGTTTGGGGGTGGGAGGAGCACCAGCTTTTCAGATCTCTATGCCAAAAGATATATATGATTACATGGGAGTGTGCTGGATTGGATTCCTGCATAGTCCTCCCCTCCATTTTGGTCCCCCCAGATACTGTAACATTGGAAGTTGGGTTCAAGGGATTGGAGACAACAGGATCTTTCAGATCTTCCATAGACAACCTTAGAAAGTGAGTAGTAGCATGATTGAGAAGCTTGTTTCCAATTACCTGTGCTGGAAAACAATGCAGAAAAATCTGTTTCTGAGATCAAAGATTGGGATGCAGGGTAGGGGAAAAAATGAAGGACTTCCTCTTCTAAAAAGAAAGAGGAGAAATAACAAACATTATTGTCTCAGGTTATAATACTGAAAATCTTTTTATAAAGACCACAGGTGAATTAGGTTTGGAGGAACATCTTTATTTTTAAAAGTTTACATTTTGCCTTGAGTAACTCCACATTTGAGGGTCTACAGGTTGCAGGTGCAGTTTGGTAAATAAAGGGGGGGGGATAGCTCCCTTTGATGGACACCCAACCAGACAGTTAGCTGTAAAATCCCTCTTGGAAGCTGTTCTTTACTTGCTTTACCTGTTAAGGGTTAAAAAGTCCCCGAGGTAAAGAAAAAAAAGTGGGCCCCTGACCAAAAGAGCCAATGGGAAGGCTAGAACTTTTTAAAATGGGGAAAGAAACTTTCCCTTTGTCTGTTGTTCTCTGGGCTGCAGGAACATGGAGTAGCAATGCTATAAGCAGAAATGCCATGTAAGGTTTGAAAAGTATTTTCCATACCTAGAAGGAATCATTTGGCTAGGGAATGTTTAGTTAGACACTATCAGGTTACTTCTTTATTTTGGCTTGTGGATCTCCACTGTGCTAACCCCCAGATGCTTTTGTTTGCTTGTAACCTTTAAGCTTAACCCCCAAGAAAGCTATTTTGGGTGCTTAATTTTTGGAATTGCTCTTTTAAAATCTAGCAAAAGCCTAAGTTCCAGATGTATTTTCTTTCTTTTTGTTTTTAATAAATTTTACCTTTTTTTGAGAACAGGATTGGATTTTTGGTGTCCTAAGAGGTTTGTGCATATGCTGTTTGATTAGTTGGGGGCAACAGCTAATTTCCTTTGCTTTCTTTCTCAGCTCTTCCCTGGAGGAAGTGTGTGTGAAAGGGCTTGACGGTGCCCCACAGGGTGGAATTCCCAAGTGCTCCTTCCTGGGTTCAAGGGTTTTTTTTTTGCATTTAGGTGGTGACAACCTTGGGAGTTTAATACAAGCACGGAGTGGGCCCCCACCTTCTATACTCAAAGTGACAGAGTGGGGATTCAGCCTTGACAATAGGGGAAACTTTTAAAGATCATTGGTGACAGCTAGCGGCTGAAATCTGAACTGGACACTGCTCAGCTGCTGGCAGAAGTAAAGTAAGGGCAAGTTTTTAAACAGCCAGATTTGAAAACTTGCCTATACTTGATTTTTTTTCAGACACAACCTCTCTCTCCTTGGAAATGGAAGCAGAGGTGGGAAGTGGCAGCCAGCACCTTAAATTAACAAGAGCTTTCACAACTGCTGGCTGCCAGTTCTCACTTTTATTTCTGTGGAAATAAGGGTCAGAACAAGGAAAAATAAGATGATGGGGTATGGGCTGCCTGCTGAAATCTGCATCTCCAGCGTCAAAAGTCAGCTATTGACTAGGACCATTTAATTACAAATGTTAAGATAAAAATGACAAACATTATAGAAATGATGATTCAATGAGGCTGTCTGTATACATGTATTATACTGTTACACACACACACACCTACATCTGTAAATATATATAGGCATGCATACACATGTGCATATGTACACACACACTGGGTTTATTCACACACAGAAATGGAGAGAGATTATGGATCTGATCCAAAGTCCACTGAAGTCAATGGGTATCTCTTTATTTTGGTCTTATATGGTGCTTTATCAGGAATACATGGTTATGTGGTATGAAGGTTTCATTATGGGATGACCATATAAGTAATGCACGTAATCTAAAATGAATGCCAATAAAACCTTTTACCCCATTCCACACCTTCATGAATTCTGTATGTGATATGTACATTACAGAAAACAATTTTAGCAATGCTTTAAAGTGTTCCTTGTTCAGCTATTATGACAGGTTCCTTTGTTACTGTGAATCCTAATGTAAAGGGTTTAGATGGAGAAAATAATGAAAATTAACTAGACAGAAAAGTTTAAGAAGTTGTCCAAGGTTGAGAATATATATCAATAATTTAACAATAAAAATCTTTACAATGATGTACTTAGTGACGAAGATACCATTTAGAAGCCTGAAAATTCAGAGTTGAAGTTAAACTTACCAGAAACCCAAACTTTAGCAAATATGGGAGAATCCACAAAGTACAATGATCAAACCACTTAAATTTGGTCCCTTACCAATCTCAAGCTCCTAAATTCTCTTGTTTCCTTGTATAGCTGCCTTTTATAGCTACTTTACAGATATATTGTGTTTGGATCAAAACCTTTTAAAAAGAAGTTGAATTCTGCAGCTTGTAGCTTAGGACTTGTCCTCACAGCTTTGTATGCAACACTGTACGTTCACACCCTGGTTTGCCATGCACTGACTAACTGTGTAGACAAGCCCTAAGATTCTGAACAGAAACTCTCATTGTGCAGCTTGCTGCTGGTGTCTCAAAACTGGGAATCAGACAGCAGCGATTTAAAATTTGTTGAATGTTTTCATTGTAGACATGGTAATGCTGCATGTAATGATCTTGGATAATATGCTACCAGATAAAAATTGTATGATTCAATAGTAGCCTCCTAGTTTTTCAGGATTGGGCCTGCATGGTGAAGGGTGGGGAATGACTCCCTACATTGCTATTGACCAAATCGAGGATTTTTAATTTTTAAAGTGTTTTTGTGAACAGTATCTGACGTAACGCTGTATATTTAAGAATAAAGCATTTTAAATGTTGGTTGCTGATAAGATGAAACTATTATATATGAATAAGATCCTGTAGTCTGATATTCTGCTTTTATCAGATTATCATGAAGGGGCATGACCTGTTGTCTCACTGTGTGGGTATTGTATGTTGCATAGGAGTGAAGTGTTCTACTGCTGACTAGAAAATAGATGCACGTGGTTTTTTCCTATTATCACATATCTTTTTTTAAAGCCAACAAAGAACTTACAAACATAACCACACATAAAGAGGACTGTCAAGTAAAGTTGACTGGAAAATTAGAATTTTTCTTGCATTTGAAATTTTCCATTAGAAACTCCAGTTTTTCCTGTAGGAAATTCCAAAAGTGTGCGTCAAGTGTGTTTTTTGCTCACTTCCAAATACTTAGTTACTGTTTCCCAACTTTTTCCAGTGGCACCAGCTGAGAAACAGGAATGAAAAGTGGGAAGGTAAGGAAAAAACACCTTTCAGTTTTAGAAGTAACATGTTCACATTTCAGTTTTAACAGGCTACTTAAATGTGCAAGTGTTACTGTTTCTCTCAGTCACACTTTCAATATGGTTGCCAACTGGCAGAAGTTGGAAAACAATAATAATGCATGGGAAAGTAGGTTTTTCCACACTTTGACTTTTTTTCACAGCTTTTGCTAATTGAAGCGCAGTCAGAAAGTGAGGGGAAATTTGCATTTAAAAATAGAAAAAATCTTAAAAATTAAGGATATTTTTCCACACATGTTTTGTTTCCAAAATGTTTTATTTTTCCAGAAAAATATTGAAAGATGAAAAATTAATTGACAATATTTGTGTGGAAAATGTTGATTTAAAAAAAAATAAAGCCCTATTTTCCAATGAAAAAACTTTTCCTCAGAAACTGTTTGACTACTGCAGTTGTTAAGGTTCTGATGTGTAGTGCTCAAAGGTTTGGAAATGCCAAAATTAAGGTTTTCTGCACAACCTTAACCTCAAACCACTTTTGTAGTGAACGAGCTTTGGGTCCAGAAGAGTACTACCTCATTCACTACAGAAGATGAGAAACGCATAATGAATGAAGGAGGGTTGAAGAGGTAAATGAGAGGAGTGTTGACAGGACCCCCTGCCTCATTCAGTGCAGGGATGGGTGATACACCATTTATGAGGCATGGGGAAATAACTTATGAGTCTAACCATAAATATTTAAAAGTTATTTCATTCACTGTGCACTGTTGAGCCTGCAGAATTAATAATGATGGGACCTGTGGAAAAATGTGATCCTGTACTTAAAAAACAATCTCAAAGTATTTCAAAATGCATACACACAAGGGAGCAGAATTCATGTTGTGTAGGCCGCCTTTACTTTGGCATTTCCAGAATTTTTAATACAATCTTAACATTATATTTATCAGCTTGTTGTATGGATGCACATGGGGTGGGGTGGGGTGGGGAGGGAAGGTGACACACACCCCACTCATGTGGCAATTCTGTCCATGTGAGAAATTAATTCATGTGGTTCCTCAGTTCATCAGGCAACTTTGGCTATTTCATCTACACTCTGCCCCTTAATCCATCACTTATGAGACGTATTCCAACAGGAGCACGCATCTCCAGTCAGCTTTAAAAAAGTCACTTTTTTAAAAAATTAGTCTGCCAAGATAATGGCAATCATTATTATTTGGATTGCATTAGCACCTAGGAATCCCCTATCCAATTGTGCTAAGTACTGTACATATATCTAATGAAGAGAAAGTCCTAGGAGTTTACAATCTAAGAATAAGACAGACAACTGGTGGATATAGCAGGGAGCTGGTGGGAGCACAAGGTAACACTGGGACAATACTAATCAGCATTGATAAGCAGCAGTAAATGTTTCCCCTTTCTGCCCCCAAAATACAACCTCGACTAAGGACCTCAAAAGGTGAAATTTGTCTTGGGCTAGTGACATGTTTTCTATAGATGTAAAAATGTCAGAACTAGGAAAAGTCTGTTATCTTCTGGAAACAGGAACTTTTTACCATATGGAAGGAGAGTTTCTGAACGTTCCACTGGGACTCACAGTATTTGTGTCTGGCCTTGGAAGGTTCAGGATCACAGACTTAAATGCCATTTTTATGCTTAGAAAAATCAGTATTCTATATATAAATACATAAAAATCTATATAAATCATCTATATATAGATTTATTAGAGTCGTTTTTATGGTTCCTTCTGGGCTCTCTACAGTTAGACTAAGGGTAACTACATCACCTGGCTTTACAGGCTGAGTAAGACAGAAAAAAAATCCCATGTCCATTTTTAAAGCTCTCAAAAGTGCATTTCTACAACAGTTTTTCTGTAATGTATGTGGCATATATATAAAACACATGATGGTGTGGCATAAAGATTTTATTTGTATTTGTTAGGAATGACCCGTGCAAGCTATGAGTGAGTAATGCAGTCATCTTAAATTCATTCTGATAAAACCTAGATACCACATCACACTATCATGCATTAGTTCATAACCTCTGTTTTTGTGTGTTTGTCTATAAATGTAGAATAAAACATGCTTACCAAAGTGTTCCCAAACTTAATTCCTCACTAAACATCAATCCTCATCTTCATTATTTCAGATATGTTATTTGCACAAAATTAAATTGATGTAAATATGTTCTGTAAAATTTGGCATATTGTTACAGTGAACATATAAAATTATTAAAATATATGATGAAAGGTATTATAATAATAGATAGCAGCTATGTGTATACATAATTCACAATAAAACATACAATGAGATAATGGTAGGCCTTGGATATGTGTGAATAGGACTGTGTGAGGCTGTTGAAGGTGGCTCTCTGAAGCCCCTGGCCTGGTATAAGATGTGCACAGTTAGGCTTTATCTGCTACATTGGCATCACTGAAGACATTTGCATGGTCAGGATTTGTACATCCCATTGTAGAATCAGGGCTTAAATTCATTTTAAAAATATACATTTGTACTTCCCAATTTTATTTCTTTTAATTTTTTTTCAAGCCATTCATTTTGATACAAAAACATGCAAAATCCCCAAATTTTCAGGTACAGTGAAAAGAATTGTACTCAGAAAGTCCATTTTTACTGTGTATGATTCTGTGTTAGCATGATAATTTTGAAGAAGTGAGAACCAATTCTGAATTAATTTGAGGTATTTTGAGCATTGCTGCTGTTAATTCACGCACTGGTAGTTGTGATGTACAAATTAGGTGTCTTCTCAACAGAAAAGTATTGGTATTAATATGTAATGCACTAATTATCTTTGTTAAAATATATTTTTTAAAAGCTATTTCAAGTCCACTATCACTTTAAAAACGTTTGTTTATATATACTTATCTATGTAAATAAGGAGTGTAATGTTAGTCATCTAAATCTATACTTAGGTATCTAAAGCAGTGGCCTAATTTATTTGGCTTCATTGCAAGTTGTGAGGCCTCTCAACACCTTTTATAGTCAGGCCACTTAGAGTATGTCTTCATTGCATGTTCAGCATGAGAGATCAGCTCCTGGGTGGTACCAGCCATATTCCAAAGTCCAGCTTGAGTTACTGTGTTCTCACTGGTGCTGCACTCACCTGTGTGAGGCATTTGGACTTCTGGGTGCATATCTCAAGGATTTTTTGTGCTTCAGTAAGACAAGCCTCTCTGATTATTTCCCACTGAATTCTGGTAGAACTTGTCTGTCCTTCTGGGCACATGGGGAAATTGTCGTGTTTGTCTATAAAGTACCTACATGTATCATTTATCAAATAATCTCGTCAAGCTTGCACATAGAGATTTATTATTTGACCTTTCTTTCCTAAAGTTATGTGGCCAGGCATATCCAACTTCATGAGATTTGTTCACAAGGTTTGTTCTGTCAGGAGGTTAGCAGGGCGATTTGACAGGGTAAAAAGACTTCATGGTGGTAGAGGATGTACAGATTAATTATTTGGTGTCTTCAAAAGCTCTGTCTAAATTCTCACCTTTCCTGTCATGCTACAGGCCATCGAGCGAGAAAAGTCTGAGAAGTACAGGAAACTGCAAGACACCAGCAGATCAGTGGAAGCCTTGGTGGAACAGATGGTGAATGGTAATGACATGGGGGTTGAAATAGATGATAATCTTAGGGATGGAATAAATACACAAGAATTCTGTTAGCAAAGCACTTTCTGAATGGAATGGTAAGTTAATTTTGCTTTATATTTTTGTCACTCTGTCTGGAGTGACCCACCACTGAGAGAGCCAGTCTCAGCTCAGCCTGTTAGAAAACAGTACAGGCACCCCAAACTGACAGTGTATTCACCAAGATTTCACCCAGCCAGTAACAAATGTGCACTCCTGGATTACTGTATTAGTCTTGGAGCCACAGACAGTCCCCTTAGGCTCTCCAGCCCCTCTTTACCACCCAGACAAGCTGGACTTTGTGATGAAAGGTTATTAAAAGAAAAAATCATCTCGCATTAGGTTACTCCCAACCTCAAGGGGTCAGTCAGCCCAGGTCAATGGTGACTCCAAAGGCATCGCTGACAGCCAATTTCTCTAATAAACTAACTAAAGGTTTATTAGCTAAGAAAAAGAAATCAGTTATTGAGAGGTTAAAGCAGGTAAAATACATTAACAGGTGAGTCAAAATTTGTAAATCTAATATAATAGCAGAGATGTAGTGATGGGCTCTTGGGCCATTTGTTCAGTATTCCATGCTGTTAAAATCCAAAACAGTACAGAGATACATCGCTCCCTGGATCCATTCTTATAGTGGTTTTCCCCGGAAAACAATCTGGCAAGTATCTCCATCACAGCAAGGGCTTTTTCTCTGTTGACTAAATGCAGACTGTGGATTTCCCATTGTCAAACACCATGACCCATGCTTTGAAGTTAGCGTGCTTCTTCATTTACAGTTCCAAGGCTTCAATTCTGTTTGATGGGCAGGCCAATTACCAATGCACACATAATGCATTTTGTTACAGGAATCCAAAGAATCTTTCATTCATTTTCATGAAGTCTAAACATCAAGTAAATACACCTTTGATCTAGGATTATCTAATTACAGGGTATACATAATGTAACTACATGTAATGTGACAGAAGACAACAGAATACAAATAGGTGAAAACAATGCAATCAACATCTCCTTTTGATCTCTGCTAACAAGTGAATTGGCTTGAACATGCTATGACCTTTTAGCATTTCTTTGATATTCAGACATAAGTGAATTGCCCTATTGCTCTAGCCTGAGCTGGCAATCTGTTAGCCCTAACATTCAAAAATAATAAGAAAATTGTGATGCTATTAATTGGAAAGGGGTGGAAACAAAAACATAACCTTTCTACCATGAAAGGAAATGTAGCAAACTATAATGCTCACAATAGTGTACTATGTGTTAACAGTTTGTTCTGCACAGAAACTAAGATTCTAATCTTACTTTCTTGACTATATTAAACTTTTGAAGAGACTATAGTTCATTTTAAATGATTTCAGAGAGCAGGATGATGGTGTGGCATATTTGAATATAGTCAAAATTCTCTTAGCCATTTTTAAAATTAATCATATTATCTGATTATATGGCTTGTGCAATATTTTATATTGTAGCAGAGTATACAGATGTCTAATTCTATTTTGGAAGATATTTCTGGTATTTAAAAATTCAAACGTAATGGTTTAGCCAAATTTCAGATTTAAAAAAAAATGTGTTTTACTTTGTAATGGGGTTCACTCATCACTCTGGCACCTCCTGATGGTTGTCTTGGGAATTAGCTCTGCATGGTAGTGTGCTCTCTTCGGGTAGTGCCTCGCCACTGTCACTCCTGCTCTAGGACCCACATCTCTCCAAGGACAACAGCGTCCTCTTCAGTGACACAGCCCTCCGGCCATGCCTCACACTGTGCTCCCCCCTTCTGGAGGACCTGAAGTCTGCTGTTCAGCCACTTCCTTTAGTGGCTATTGCAGCGAATTGTCTGGCCACTTCCTCATGGTTCCAGCATCTTCTTTTCCCTTGCCTCAGGGCCTCAGCCTGCAAACCCCAGCAGCCAGCCAGGGGCATGCTCTCTCACTCCCCCAGGCCCTGCTAGCAGCACTGCTCTGTCCAGGGTGCTGTCAGTTCTCTCAGCCCTCCAGACACACAGTCCTTCCTCCCTGGGCTCCCAGCAGACAACTACCCTCCTCTGCTCTGCAGCTCCCTTTTTATATGGGCCTGCTTGGCCCTGATTGGCTGCTCCCCTCAGCCCTTCTCTGATTGGCTGCTTCCCTAGGGCTCTATTAACCCCTTAGAGTCCCAAGGGGAGAGCCAATTCTTGATTTAGTCCTGAGGGGTGCACAGGATCTGGTCCAAGAGGTAACTATAACAGGACCGCTTGGAAATAGTGACCATAATATAATAACATTTAACATTCCTGTGGTGGAAAGAACACCTCAACAGCCCAACACTGTGGCATTTAATTTCAGAAAGGGGAACTATGCAAAAATGAGGAGGTTAGTTAAACAGAAATTAAAAGGTATACTGACTAGAGTGAAATCCCTGCAAGCTGCATGGACAGTTTTCAAAGACACCATAATAGAGGCCCAACTTAAATGTATACTCCAAATTAAAAAACACAGTAAAATACCTAAAAAAGAGCCACTGTGGCTTAACAGCCATGTAAAAGAAGCAGTGAGAGATAAAAAGGCCTATTTTAAAAAGTGGAAGTCAAACTCTAGTGAAGTACATAGAAAGGAGCATAAACACTGCCAAATTAAGTGTAAAAATGTAATAAGAAAAGCCAAAAATGAGTTTGATGAACAGCTAGCCAAAAGCTCAAAAGGTAACAAAATGTTTTTTAAGTACATCAGAAGCAGGAAGCCTGCTAAACAACCAGTGGGGCCCCTGGACGATGGAGATACAAAAGGAGCACTTAAAGATGATAAAGTTATTGTAGAGAAACTAAATGAATTCTTGTCTTCAGTCTTCATGGCTGAGGATGTTAGGAAGATTCCTAAACCTGAGCCGTCTTTTGTAGGTGACAAATCTGAGGAATTGTCACAGATTGAAGCATCACTAGAGGAGATTTGGAATTAATATGATAAACTTAACAGTAACAAGTCCAGATGGCATTCACCCAAGAGTTCTGAAAGAACTCAAATGTGAAATTGCGGAACTATTAACCATGGTTTGTAATCTGTCCTTTAAATCAGCTTCTGTACCCAATGACTGGAAGATAGCTAATGTAATGCCAATATTTTAAAAAGGCTCTAGAGGTGATCCCAGCAATTACAGACCGGTAAGTCTAACATCAGTACCGGGCAAATTAGTTGAAACAATAGTAAAAAATAAAATTGTTGGGAAAAGTCAACATGGTTACTGTAAAGGGAAATCTTACTAATCTATTAGCGTTCTTTGAAGGGGTTAACAAACATGTGGACAAGGGGGATCCAGTGGACATAGCATACTTAGATTTCCAGAAAGCCTTTGACAAGGTCTCTCACCAAATGCTCTTACGTAAATTAATTTGTCATGGGATAAGAGGGAAGATTCTTTCATGGATTGAGAACTGGTTAAAAGACAGGGAACAAAAGGTAGGGATAAATGGTAAATTTTCAGAATGGAGAGGGGTAACTAGTGGTGTTCCCCAAGAGTCAGTCCTAGGACCAATCCTATTCAACTTATTCATAAATGATCTGGCAAAATTTGCAGATGATACTAAACTGCTCAAGATAGTTAAGACCAAAGCAGACTGTGGAGAGCTTCAACAAGATCTCACAAAACTAAACGATTGGGCAACAAAATGGCAAATGAAATTTAATGTGGATAAATGTAAAGTAATGCACATTGGAAAAGAGAACCCTAACTATACATACAATATGATGGGGGCTAATTTAGCTACAACTAATCAGGAAAGAGATCTTGGAGTCATCGTGGATAGTTCTCTGAAGACGTCCAAGCAGTGTGCAGCGGCAGTCACAAAATCAAACAGGATGTTAGGAATCATTCACAAAGCGATAGAGAATAAGACGGCGAATATCTTATTGCCCTTATATAAATCCATGATATGCCCACATCTTAAATACTGTGTACAGATGTGGTTTCCTCATCTCAAAAAGGATATACTGGCTTTAGAAAAGTTTCAGAGCAGGGCAACTAAAATGATTAGGGGTTTGGAACGGGTCCCATATGAGGAGAGATTAAAGAGGCTAGGACTTTTCAGCTTGGAAAAGAGGAGACTAAGGGGGGATATGATACAGCTATATAAAACCATGAGTGATGTAGAGAAGGTGAATAAGAAAAAGTTATTTATTTGTTCCCATAATATAAGAACTAGGGGGCACCAAATGAAATTAATGGGCAGCAGGTTTAAAACAAATAAAAGGAAGTTCTTCTTCACACAACGCACAGCCAACCTGTGGAACTCCTTGCCTGAGGAGGTTGTGAAGGCTAGTACTATAACAGGGTTTAAAAGAGAACTAGATAAATTCATGGAGGTTAAGTCCATTAATGGACTATTAGCCAGGATGGATAAGGAATGGTGTCCCTAGCCTCTGTTTGTCAGAGAGTGGAGATGGATGGCAGGATAGAGATCACTTGATCATTACCTGTTAGGTTCACTCCCTCTGGGACACCTGGCATTGGCCACTGTCGGCAGACAGGATACTGGGCTAGATGGACCTTTGGTCTGACCGAGTATGGCTGTTCTTATGTTCAGGTGGGGCAGGAGCCCCATCACATACTTTGATGATTGAATTTTGTTAATTTCCAGACTTGACTGATATGTTGTGAGCTTTTAGATTTTTTTTTGCTAGGAAAAGAAAAAGGGTTTACTGTAAAACAGGAGAAATATACACTGAAGAAAAATTGCAGTGATATGTGCTTTTGAGTGCAACTCGACAAACTAAAACCAGAAATTGTCATCTTCATTACATTAAATAATTCCCAGCACTGCAATAAAATCTACAAACAATTCTACTAGTAACTAGGGGCAGATTCTGCTGTGCTGACTCACCTTAATGCATGGATAGTCCCATTAATTAAATGGAATTATTTGTCAAATATGATAGTAGTAATCAAAATAAGGAGGGCAGATTCTGGACCTAAGCGGGTTGAATGTTATGTTCCTCGTTTACT